CTCGTGTCCCTTCATGCTCTGGCCCCAGCCCTTCTCCGTCTCTCCTTCCCTCTCTCCCTCTTCCCTCTTCCCTCTCTCTCCCCCTCTCTCTGTATCACTTCTTTCTCTCTTTGTTTGCCGGGTCTAGCCTCCGGAACAGCATCGTCGGAGCTTCAAAGTCGCTTGGGGGTAGCACGGAAAGACGGCGGCACATTCTTGAATTCTCATCATCAACAGCAGGCAGCGGCGGCTCTTCGAAAAACTCGCGGGAGCCCGAGACCGTAGTGGAGCGGACCGCCATCCGCACCTAAATTCGGACGATCCCTCCGGAGAAAGTCGCAGTCACGAGGCAGGAGCGAAGGCAGTCTTAGTGGCGCATCGACCAGGCTGACTTGTCACAGGAGCACAGCCTTGCATTTGCTCATTGCCTGCATCATTCAAGACTTCGGCCGCGGATCCCTTTTCGTGACCTCTATCCGCCGCTAAGCCAGATAAGCTTCTACACCCCACTGCCATTTTGCGACCCACTTCCCCTTCGGCGCTGCAGCTCGCCCATTTTGGCGCATCTTTGCTCGCACAAGGGGTGCTGAGGTTTATTTAAGCAACCTCTTTCGCGCTTGTCGCTCAGCCCCCTCCCCCCTCCTATATCGTACCTCCTATATCATCACAACTTGCCAGCCTGCTCCCCCTTTGATCCCAAGGACAAGTCCTCCGACCTTCTCATCGCCCTGCCCCTTTCGATCGCTCAATTACAAGGTGGACCGTACTGCACTGCACTGCACTTGCTGTGCGCATCCACACCACCTCGTGATGCGCCCCTACAATAACCGCAAGGCGGCTCAATGGAGCTTGCTTGCCGTCTTTAGCGCCCTGCTCCTTTGCGAGGGAGCACGGGGGCAGCGCCAAGTATCGCTGCAGGCAACGGACTTATCGGACGTTGTCACGTCGTCGACCTACTTGGACACTGCCGGCTCCACAGACAGCGGCTCCAGCGCCGCTCCCACCCCGACCTCTAGCACCCTGCCGGTTGGCAGTGCGGCGGTAAGCACTGTCGACGACGATGACGATCCCTCTGCGGCAGCGTCGGCTTGGCAACCACCACCGACCCAGTCCGCGACGGTTCCGTCGCCAGACGGTGTTTACCCGAACCCTCAGTGGTCGAGTCTGCTCGGTAAGACGCTCTACTTCTATGACATTCAGCGGGCCGGCCAGCTTCCGAGCAATTTCCGCGTCAAGTGGCGCGATAGCTCCTCGACCAGCGATGGTAGCGACGAAGGCCTGGACCTGACAAAAGGCTTCTTCGATGCTGGCAACTTCATCAAGGCTACCTTCCCGCTCTCTTGGACGTTGCAGCAGCTCGCTTGGGCCGGGGCTATGTAC